TTTATACAAAGCCCCCCACAAACCCCCCATCAGTTTTGATGAGAGGGGCAAAAATTTCAATGGAGTTTTGAGGGAAGCAAGGTGGGAAAACAGGTGGGGGGAAGAGAGGGACCCTGATTTGACTGATGGCTTTAAACAACAGCTACAAAGAGCCAGCAGGGAAAGTGCAGCACAGTTCTGCAGATACTTCACTCATTACTGTAAACCTCAAACTCCTATAAACACTGCTTGTCTATAGGTACCACATACCTGAGCCCCAGCTCACCAGAATCAAGGCTGGACCAGCCCAGGCCACCCCTGGACTGCAATTCAGGAATTCAAGGCTGGTCCCAACCACCTCAAAGCCACTGAAGGTTTCCAAGGACACTAAGAGGAGGAACCAGCATTCAGGCTTCTGTAGGCAAACAGCCACAGTGAACAGCTGGCTTATATTGGAGGCTTGAGCCCTTGAGCAGGTGCATGAAATAACTGGAGTGTTTTAGTGACCCCCATCCCTAAATTTTCTTTATTGGGAGCTGAAGAAAAAAAAAAAAAAAAAAAAAAAAAAAAGAAAGAAAAGAGAAAAAAAGAAAAAGGTGCATTTCCCAGGGAACTCCAGCCCAGGTTTCTGAGATCCCACCAGAGTGGCATGGAGACTGCAGAGCAAGAACTGGGAGAGGATCACAGGCACTGAGCAGACCAAGGGTAGCTAAAACGTGGCTAAAGGGGCTAAAACATGGCTTTCCAGGGACATCTACAGTTCCCCTTAGCAACCAGTTCACCCCATAAGTATAAACCTGCTAACACAGCCTAAATTTAATGTATTGAGCAGTGACTGCCCAACCATGTACACACAGTTCTGGAGAGGATCATCCCTGCCCTCAGCTCCACCAGCTCAACTTTTCCAAGACCCCTCCTGCCTCTCCTGGATTTTGAACTCGCTCAGGCAAGAGAACCTCACTTTTTAGAGGAGCATCTTCCTGCACCACAACTCTCAGATTGTGCCCATAGGGCTAATATGTAAAAGCAGTATTTATTTTTAAATACTTTCCCTCTTTACATGAGATTTTAGTTCCAAACAACATGCATCAACTTTTTTTAAAAACCCACACACAAACAATATTTATCATCCAAATACCCTTTAGAAGCTCAAAGGCTGACATACCAAGAATTCCACTTGAAAAATATATGTATTTCTAAATGGTTTATGAGGAAATATGTATGTTGCTGGTCCATTGATATGGAGCAAAAGCTTGTACCTGAAATTAATTAAAATAATCATATTCAGAGATAGGCTTGTCTGCTGAAACACAATATATTGCACCTCTCTACATAACTGCTGATTTCATGATCATCTTTATAGACACAAATCCGGTGAGGTGAAAGGGGTTTTTTTAATGTGTTTTTGTGGTGTTTGTGTTTTTTAACAAGTAAGGAAAAAATTCACTCCTGAGTTAACAGAGAATGCAATAAAATGCCTACATTTTCCATCCCAGATGAGATTTGATGAAGTCATTCACTTAATTTCCAAAGGACATGCATTTGAGGCAGGAGAGTGTAACGGAGGGAACAGGTACAGCTACCTGTGAATGTGTATAAATATATCTGCATAAAAATATATCCATACACATGAAGAATTGTGGGAGAGGGACAGCAAGACATATGTAACAGCCTGGAAGCAGAAAGGCAGGGTGAGGCAAGGCAATCCTAAGGGCAGGTTGGAGGAAATGTGACATTCCCTTCCCTCTCTGAATGCTGTGGTGAGAGATCTGTTCTCAAAGCGTTTTGATGCAGGTGTGGATGACTGAGACAAAGCTGTCATTCACTGAGGACCACCTGAACCTGTGTGTCTGGTGAGGGAAGGAATCAGAACAGAGTCCATTTTACTATTGCCAAGTGCAGCTTATTCAGCTCTCCAGAAATTCCAGAAATCCAATCTCCTGGGCAGTCAGCGGCTGCATTATTCCATCTTCTTGTTGGGATGGAAATGGGCCATTGGAAAAAACTGGCATCTGCCTCTGAAAAACTGGTGCACAACTTGAACCCTTCCAGTCTTCAAATGAAGACATAAAAACTGATGTCAGATTTCTCAACATTAACAGGAATAAAATAAAATCCTGGACAACTTCAAGGAGGTCAGTATTTTGAGTTTCTTGAAATAAAACAATAATTTCCCTATGTTCTCCCAGAAACAGTGACAGAGTACAACATGTTTTATAAGCCCTCTCAAAATGAATCATCCACTTTCTTGGGACAGCATCAGAACACACCACACATAAAAAGAATGAAACAACTCCTTTAGTAATGCATTAAGACACAACTTATCTGTGACCTGATTTCAAGGGCCTTTTTTTTTTCCTATCTGCAGAAACACGAGCAGGCTCAACCTTTCTGCTCCTTCTGGCTGCCATGGATTCTCCACCACTGCAGGCGAGTGCTCCTCTCCTCTTCCAAGAGCAAAACCATGGCAGCATCTGCTTCTCATAAGCACTTCTGTGCGTGTGTGTAAGAGTGCGTGTATGGGAGAGGGAGACAAGGAAATCTGCTGAATTTAACTGAAAAGTTTGTCACAGGGAAGGGTGGGTTTGTTGTTGTTTTTTTTTTTTTTTTTTTTTTCCTTTTCCATCCCTCAAATAGTAGAAGTAGGGCTACTGCTTCACACTTAGGCTTTTCCTTTCTCACTTGTTAGCACAGGGGACAATTAGTGACTGAAGGGAAAAGAAGAATTTATTTCACTTTTGAAGTTGACAGACTGGTGCATGAATGGCTACAGACAACAGCAGGTTTTCATTAGCATGTGTGACCCAGAGCTTGCAGAAGTTCCACCAGGTCAGTCCCAGGTTCAGCAGCAGAAACTCTGTGCAGAACAGCAGTCCTGGAGGTGAAGAGGCAACAGCTTCCCCAGTTCTTCATCCCCCCTAACCAACAACTAGAGATACAATCCAGAAAGAAATTCCAGTGCAAACTGTGGGCCTGCTTTGTTCCTGTCCTGTTTTGCTCTGACATCTATAGGGAACCAGAGGAGGTCCCCCATACTATGGGCTGGTGAACGGGAAGGCAGTGAGCAGACCGCTCTTGTTAGGCTTTAAACTATTTCAGGAAATCAAACACACCTCAAAAAGAAATGCTGTCTTTTCTTTTGCTTCCCCTGCCACCCAAACTCTCCATCCCTAAAGTTCAAAGAGGACACACCATCACTTTAATTTCCAATTTTACCGAGTACAAAGGGGAAAAAAAATGAAAGAAAAAAAAAAGCTTAAGATCTTTTTTTCCTCCCAGTATTTCAAATACTGTCAACATTCCTAAGCCAGAACTCTTTTTCTTGAGATATTTCCTGAACTGTACCGTCCTGATAAGAAAGTGACCTGTGGCAGCTGGCACTTCATTCTTTCCCATAGTTTTCCCACTGCATTATGAATTTATTGACAAATTGAGGAGCTAGCTCCACCAGAGCTGCAATAATATAGAGAACTGCCATAAGAGTGAAATTTATTGAGAGAAGGAAATACTGATGGACTACAAAGATGAGGAAAAAAACCCCACCACATTTAATTCATCATCCCAACACAGAGACTACAACCTTATTACTTTAAAGCAATATTTAAGCATAGTCCATTCAGCATTTATACACCATCTCAAACTTCAAATCAGCAAGCCAGAGACTTAAGGGTCTTGCCAAATTGTGATATAATCCTAATGCCTCTATTGCCAGCATGTCAAGCCCCCTCCCTTGACAAGGGAGAATGCTCAACACCTCACAGGATCAAGTTCAAACAGCCTGGAGGGAAGCAGCAGTGCAGGGAACCTTGGAGTGGCAGGCACTTGCCAACCCCCCCCCCCCCCCCCTTTCACACACACATCCATGTGGTTTCCACCTGACAAAACTACATTTACAACACTCAGTGCCTTAAAATTAAACTCCTCCTTATCTCAGCCATGTGTCTGTATCTTGGTTTTTCCACTTGGCCGGCACGTCTTTCAAACAGGGATGTCTGAGAGCAGCGGTGACAGAAATATAATGCTCTGTAAGAGCCTGAGGAAATACTACAGAGGGACCCTGGGTGCACAGAGAAGAAGGGGAACATCTCCAAGCCACAGCCAGGACTCAGCAACCCCGGTCCTGACCCTGGGCTCCCCTCAGTGCCACCTCAGCCCACGCTGGCCCTCGCTGAGTCCCCGAGGGCTGGGCACAGACACCGACCCAGTTCCGGCCCTCACTCAGGATGTGATGGCGCCCACCTTGGCTCCAACCAAAGCCTTTATTACCAAGTCAGAGCCCAGGCCAGGGGGGTTTCCCAAGCACAGGGGCTGTGGCTCCCCGTGCCCACGCTGCTGTTGCCAGGCCAGGCCCCAGTGCATGCAGGCCTGGCTGGTTACGAATGCGGCGCTGCAGCTGGGGTCCCGTGAGCCCCAGGGCACAGCCCAGCCCTGAACTCAACTGGAGTTCCCCTTGTGCCCTCCTTGAGCTGCTCAGGCCAGCTGAAAACCTTTTGTTTCCACAAGCCACACATTTCTATAAACCTGGATTTTTTTTTTTTTTTTGTTCATTTTCCCTGAATATTGGTATTGTAAGTAACCGCTTTGAAATGGCTTAGCTGAAAGTCCTGCCCGTAAGATTTTACTGGTATTTATGAGCACCATAACCCACAGGGAACTGTGTCCAACAGCTTCAATGGATCATAGATGAGGCCCATATTCGTGTCTGATTTAAGAGTATTTGGTCCATTTTGAAAGAATGGATGTGCTCTATGCTAAAGGTGTTTGCAAGCTTCTGACAGTCAGCACAGCACAAAGCCACCTTCAGAAGCAAGAAAAACAAAAACACTTTTACTACAATTTAACACCAGGAAAAAAATATTTGGCTGAAACTTCAGGTGCGAATTATACTTGCTTAAGCTAGAACAAAAGGACAAAATCATCAGAATCTAGTAATGTGGAAACAAAGGAGTTTAGCTCTTTAAAAGAAAAGAAAGATAGACATTTGAGGTAACAAACAAAAAAACCCAAAATGCACAAACACATCACAGACATCTAAAAATAGCATTTTATACATTTTTGCCAGTGCTTCTCTGAGAGCAAGTTCTTTAAACAGAACTTAACAATTTTACAATTTTTTTTAAAAAAATATGTCATCCTAAAATAGCCCATCAATCCTTACCCAAACTTTCTGTATTTCTACAAAAATAGATGCACAAAGAGCTACAAAATACTGTATTCCTGAAAGAAGGCGCACTGTAGTCAAGGGAGAGTCTTTTTCCTGACTATTGAGACTGTTCATAAAAATATCAAGCTGAACAAAACGAAACACTGTTAAAGGAGCAGAAAGGAGTTAGGTTGCCCAGCTGCAGCAGGCTCAGATGAGGAAAGAAAGAAAAGTTAGGTTTCTGTTTTTTTTGGTTTTTTTTCCAACACTGTGGGACCCATAAATGGCCTTACAAATAAAAGGCTCAATAGCAAAACCAGAATAGCTGGCTCTTCATCTTCATGTGTGTCCTTTGCTCCACGCAGAAGGAGTCAGCCACTGCTGTATCACCCGCCCAGCTCCGCTGACTCCAGCTCTAGCTGGTCTTAATTTCTCTGCACCTCAGAACCAAGCGGTTTCCTTGCTCTTGTCCTGATGCTGTAGACCTACATTTCAGAAAAGAAAAGGAAAATTATTAATATCAATAAATATTAAATTAATAAATCAGATGGTTTCTTCTTTCCCCTCCCCAAGCAACTGAAGTAAAGAAACACAAGTTTTGAATTTTAAAAAAAAAATTTAAAAGAAAAAGAAACGAATGACAATTTAACAGTTTAAAGGACTTGTTAGCAACAGTGTTACTGCTCCAAAACTTTTATTTTATGAGGGGTAAAATTAAACCATACTAAAATTTGATTCTGGCTCAACCATTTCAAAAATGGTGATAAAATTCCTGCATGCGCTTCCTTGGCTTGAGCTCATGTGGAACACAGCATGAAGTGAAAAAACCCTCCATAAAGGTCTGCATCAATTATCCAGTAGGCAGCAGAGCAATATTTCCAGGCAGGGTCCAGCCACAGACACCATCTCCTCTAGAAAATGCCTGGGACACTTCAGGATTTCAGTTTCTGTGGCATTTCACCTCGCCGAGGAGAAAGGGAAAACGCTCCTGCAGCAGGCAAAATATCCCAAATAATTTCACCTACAGAGTGCAAGATTTCCAGCCAAGAATGGCTTGTGCTTCCACATGGGAAAAATTAATCGTTTTCAGCTTGCATTTGTTATGAGTTCCTCTAACATTTTCCTTTGTAAAAAAGTGAGGACTATCTAATAAATGTGGTGCTATGTTGTGGTTCTAGCGTTATAGACTTGGAACCTGCATAATAATCTGGGATTTCTCTGCTCCAGAGGGATCCAATCTCTCTATTCACACCTAACAGGGCATAAACCTCAAATCCAGACAATAGAAGGGCAGGTGCAGATTAAATTTCTCCAAGAAGATACATTCTTGCTCATTTATAGGGAAAGTAAAGGACAGAGATGCAGGCACGTATTTTCTGAGGCAGTGAGGGACTCAAGTCTCAATGATTTAAAACCTGCCCTTTGATGTTTTGAGGCAAGTAAATCACATTCCATGAAATGAAGGTACATTTTCCACTACAAGTCATCATTCCTGCTCTGCAATGTACCAAGGCACCTGACTTGCTAAGAATTTAGGGTTAATTTCATCACTAATGTAAATAGGTGCAACTCCAGACCTCTGTGATGTTGTAACCACCAGAGCTCTGTGTTCACTTGATGTTGAACTGTGTGCTAGGCGTGGATCTCATTTCCAAATCCAATCACACATTGACTATTAAGGACGACCCATAAGTTTTCAGAGAACTTACAGGCAGGCAGGGTTCTGATCTGACAACTACCTCCTTGCTTTAAGATTATGAGCAGTTAAATATTTAATGATGATCAACATTTCAGAGCTGAGCTGCAAAGCAATTAGCACTCACATGACAGATGAGAGCATATGGCTCTATCCTTGTGAGGATTTCCAAGCAGGGTACAAACACTTGTGTGTCCAGCAGTGAAGAGAAAGGGAAAGCAGAGCCCATAGGTGTGCTGCACCAAAACTTGTTTAATGCTTTCTGCTCCATTTCATGTGCACTTGTACCTGTTTCTACAGATTGGAAAAACTGAGATATCCCTCAGCTAGCGCATGCCTATTAAAACATGTTCAGAGGCTCTTTATTCAGTGAAGATGTCTCCTTGTTGCTTAAGAGCTATTTGTTTCCCTGGCAGCATCACACACAGACAGTCATAATGAACTGCTGTTCCCTTCAAAGCTCCCTCAAAGCTAGTGATGACAATTTGGGGCTATTTTTCCTTTGGTGCTTACAATTTGTTTAAACAAAGATGACCCACCCCCCCCCCCAAAAAAAAAAAAAAAAAAAGTCAGAGAGCAGAAAACTTTCAGAGCATAAAGAAGCCATTTAGGTTCACCAGAGGACCACTAAAGGACACCAGAGGCCATGGGAGCCTGTAAGAAGAGAAACAGGTTATGTGGCTCCTAGCAGCTTAAAAAAATGACACACACACGTGTTTAAGAGATCTTCCACCTGACAGCAGCAAGTGGTAGAAAGGGAATAACTAGCTGAACAGGCACCTGCCTACGCAGGTGTCTTTGCAAGGCACAAATAACTGTAACAAGGAGGTTTAAGGTATAGCTACAGACTCTAAACAGCAAGAGAAAACAATCCAAAAAAACCAAAGTTGTCCTATTTACAGAACTGAATGTGGAACACTTTCCATGCCTTCTCCTGATTATATTCCTATCTCCTTCAAGGCAAGGCCATTTGCAGTCCTAACACAGAATCCAAGGTCTGCTACTCACCCAGAGCTTCCACCTGCAGTGCTTTCCTTTTAGCAAGGAAATCCTCACTTGCACTGCATGACCCAGCACTGCCACTCCAGCAAATCCCCCTTCCCTGGGCCACCAACAGTAGAGCTAATTGCCACACAAACATTATGCAGGTTCTGTGGGAACATCTCAGCAAATTTAATGAGTTGTGACAAACTTGTGGGATGGGTGTGAACAGAGACAAATGTACAGAAGGGATTGGACTGGTCCCTCAAACTCCAAATTCAATGTATCACACTGACATACAGGCATTTCCAAAAGGGTATTTTTCCACAGGAAACCAGGACAAAAGGATGGTGATTAATTCATCTAAATTTGAAGTTATCCACCGCAATGTGCGTAACTTTATAGGATGAAGAACGCACACCTCGATTTTAATAGATTTACAGCCATCACTGATGCCAAAGTCCTGCTTTGCTTTTAGTGTGCTGGGGCTGCAGGAAGCCTCCTCCAGCACATCTGTCCCACAGCAGGACAGGATATCCTCCTAGGCTCTGCAGTGGCAAGGCAAGGTGCTCTGCTCTCCTCCCCACGGGCTGCCTGCAGCACAGCCAAACGCCACTGATCACCTGAAGGGCCTGGGGTGCAAGACACCTCCCACCCCGCTCCCGAGGGAAGCACTGATGGCTACAACCACCAGCAACACTGAGAGACAGAAATTCTCCTCCCCAAACCCTGATCTTAAGGGCTGGATGTGGCTTAAGCACAAGCAAAAAGCTTTAGTGGTGACACTGGATAAAAACTACAACTCTGAGCTGCAGGCAGAGCTGGTGACAGCCAAACCCTGCTTTGCTTGACACCAGCAACTGAGCCCTAAATCCAAACAATGTGTACTTATTCCAATGTGTTTATATCAATGCTTGACATGAAATGTACTCTTCCATTGAGCATTGTAGCTGGTGCACTTTGGAAAGACACTACACACCAGCAGACACAAACCTAGCAGGTTCTAACAGCTCTTGATGCAGACCAGCACTTTCTTTAATTGCACTGGGACTGATACAGAAGCTACTAAAAGGGTTAATTTGCAGCCTACAATGTAAGGATCAAGCCACATTTAATGGCAATCAGGTAGCTAAATCCTTCTTCATCCCCTAAAACAGAACCATGTAAGCTCAAACAGATGTGCCAGACAGATCAATAGCTTGTCAGCTCTGTGAAGGGTGCTGTGCTGCTGTCCCACACAAAGTGTTCTGAACCATAAATTCCCAAACTACACCGTGCATGCAGTGGGAACCTCCTCTTAACCTCTGAAGTGATTCAGCATCATCCATTCTTGAGATCGATTATTTGGCATGGCATGGCAGAGATGCAACAATGTAGCTGGAAGAGGGTAAGATTACAGCCAGCCTGCCCTGATCCCAACACCACCATTCCACATAATTCAGCATGAGGAATTTTGCAGATGTTCCTACAATCCATGTGACAGAAGCACAAGAAATGTGACCCATGGTAAGAAGAAGGAGAATCAGTTTATAAGTGAAGGACTCCAAAAGACAATGTCCAGGTATAGACCAAATGAACTTTTTTAACAAAAATCACCTGAAGCTCATGGAATCCGATACATTGACAGCTCCACAGGTTATTTTCTCCAGGGATATATGAGCAAACACTTTCAGAGCTGACATATTCTTGCCACTGTGTCCTTACCCTACTCTGGAGAAAGCACTTTATGTCACTAAAAGCCAGTTCACTCTTCCAGGCTCTTGAGTTTGTAGCCTCTCTCGAGATAGCTCTTTGATATTGGAGTTAAATGCAATGAAATGCTGTGTGACGTGGAGATTTATCCAGTATAATCTGCTTTCCCTGAAGTGCACATGAAGCAGGTGCTGGATGTGACTCTGTGTGGTACTCCAGCAACCCTCTCCTCTCCCCACACTTTCCCTGGGATGATTCTGCTGGATGTGCACACAAAACCCTAAAGCAATTAAGCTTCCTCTTCCCTCCATGCCTCGAGTGCCTGTAACCAAAGCATTTGTCTCAACAGCACAAGCTGCAGGCAAGGCTGAAAAGGGAGCTCAGCCTTCCTGCCCTTCCCAGCAAGCCTCTGCTTGGAAAGCAGGAGAGGGATGAGTGTGCAGGGCAAGAGAGCAAGTAATTGTAATGTCACAGGTTTCCACTGCCTGCTGTGTTTCAATGCTCGCATCCTGGTTTCCAAAACTGGGGCTGCCTAACAGGGTTTTGCTGTTGTGTTTCAGTGTGTGACCCTTTTGAATAGTCTCAAACTAATGAGCCACTGGTCTGCTGAGATTCTGTGTTTCTTCAAACCAGTCACATGTTTCCCCTCCTTCTTTTTCCCCACAGGAACTCAGAGACTTAAAACCCACACAATCAGGCATGGGTCAGAAGTGAACAGTTCAGATCTTTTCCACTGTCTCCCATGCTGAGCAACCAAATGACATGCAAAGCACTGCCAAACCAGGATCCTGACAAAATTAGCACCCAACTGTACCCATCCACCGGGATTTTCACAGGGAGCAGGCAGCACCAAGCCAAAGCTGTGTTTGATCTCTAAGGCAGTGCTAGGACCCAGTCCTTTTTGAGGTACTTGCTCTTAAAGAGAAAGAACTAACAGGCTGGACTTGTACCTAAGCCAGGCAGTGGTTTCTCCTGACTAATTCCATACACAGCTCTCTGTTCCACCCCCAAAAGGTTAACCCAAATACCAGGACTCTGCAGATGGGGCTGGGTCCAGGAGGCCTTGTCCCTTACACCTGTGGCAGTGACAGTCTGCTCGTGCTTCAGATAAGGCAGCTCACTCCCCTTATGGGGTTTGCCACAAAGGAAAAATCTCAAGATCCCAGTCTGGTTAGTTTATCATTTTGTACCCAAAAGCATAAAATATAATTATTCTTGATTCGCTGATTTAGCTAGAAATGTTATTTACATATAAATTGTCCACTGTTAAGTATACTGATAAGCTTTTTCTTAGTTTTATTGACATCAAGACAGCAAATGGTATAGTATTTAGAGGAGATTACTGGTTCCCAGTTGCTTTAAAGGGAGGAGACAGATTTGAATGAGGTTAATAGAATTTCATCTTTAAGAAACAGCCTTTTTTCCCCCATCGATTCTTTGCTCCCTTGCCCACTAATCAAGACAAAGAAGTGGTTCTCACACATTGAACCAGTCAGAGAGTGCTATCAAAAATGGAGACAAATAGATACTTTGAGGAAAAGGGAACAAACATACAAACCTAATGTTTCCTTAATCAGATAACACACTGTCTTTAAAAAGTACTAATCTGCAAGGATTGCTGCTGGTGAGATCAATATCAAACCGAAAAAGGAGCCCTCACAGTGGGGCCCATGAGCTCCAGGATGGCTGCACTGGGAACTGTCACCTGACAGCAAGAAACGGCAAACCCTGAGGGCTGCCAGACTGCTTCTGATGCTGAGACGAGAGACTGCCACTCAAGGCTCACAGACACAGATGGAGTTCATGGTCTGCAGCTCAGACTACAGACCCTGCAGTGAAATGAATTAACTCACATACCTCTGTCTCTGCCCTACAGAAAGATATTTCATTGGATGGCAAGCACAGCTCAATCAGCACCTGTATTCTTCATGTGACACCTGGATACTACACAGGAAGGAAATGCTGAGTCATTCCACTGCAAGATGCAGTCCTCACATACTGCAAGTTATTAGTTTATTGGTGCTGCATATTGGTGGATGCACATATGAACTAGCTGAACAAACGGAGAACTTCCCCATGGAAGCATAATTAATATTTTCCCACAATATTTCAATAAAAAGAAACAAAAAATGCAGATTGCGTCATCTGGCTTGAATGAGACTAAGGCAGATAAAGGTCTCTCAGCAGAAGTCAGGAAGAACTGCCCTGACAGCAATTACAGGAGCGATTCCTGTATTTGTAGGAATCACTTGGACACGGCTCTGAGAGCCAGCCCCGCTGGGAGTTCACGCCTCTGCTAAAACAAGTCACAGACGACAACGACGACAACAACAAAACCATCTTACCTGTATCAAAGCCAAAGCTCGGCACGATGTCCACTGTTCCGTGGAAGGCTCCGGCCCAGGCTGAGGTAGCGCCGGCAGCAGCAGCGGGCTCGGCCTTTGTCCCGTCACACGGGGCAGCAGGAATCCTGGCGGCGCGCACCGAGGGCACCAGCAGCGAGCCGTAGCGCGGGTCGCGGTGCGAGCCGGCGTGGGGATGGTGGTGGTGGTGCACGTGGGCGTGAGGGTGGTGGCGGTGCACGTACACATCGTGCATGTGTGCGTACGAGGGGCTCACCTGAGACGCTAAGGGGTAGTGCCAGGACTCGGAGGCGGCGGGGGGAGGAGCTGGGGCAGTCTGGTGGAGGCCGTGTCCTGGCCAGCTGCTGGGATCTGGTGCTGGGAAGGTGCCTGGTGCAGTCACAGGGAAATCGGGGTGCACTCCGCTTAAGCAGGGTGGAGGAGGAGGCTGGTAAGAGCTGGCCCAGAACGAGGTTGGGAATCCGCTCCTTTGGCTTGAAATTGTTGAGCTTTCTGGCGGGGAGGAAAGAAGAGAAGTGTGACTGAAGGTGAACAACGCATTCCAGGACAAAAACCCCACAGTGATTTGCTGCTCTCTGAGGTTTGTAACGCTGAACTCAAGCTTCCTCAGTAAATACAGAATCACGGGACATTTGAGGGAGGAAGATTGCCTAGTCTAATTCCCCTGTTCAAGTGGGGTCACCTGGAGCAGTTGTCCAGGACCATGTCCAGTCAGATTTTGAGTGAGCTCCAGACTATGCAGCCCTTCAAAAATAATCCCCAAAAGCAACAAGCAACCTAAAAAATCCAACAAAACAAAGTTTTCTTGTATTCAGATGGAATTTCCTGTTTTCTAATCTCAGCCTATTGCCTCCTGTTCTGTCAGCAAGCATTGGTGAAGGGAGCCTGGCTCCCCCATCTTCATTCCCTCCCATCAGATTTCTACATACATAAGATCCCACCCGAGAAGATTTTTCTTCTTCAGACTGTAGAGTCAGAGCCCTCTCAGGATCTTGGTACAGAAATTGTGAGCAGATGCTAACTCCTGCCCAGACTAGAGCACATCATTTAGAAAGGCAGCTGTTGTGGCTGCAAATGCTTCAGAGGAAAGACAACCAGCCCACACCACACTGCAGAACAGGAAACATTTGGCTAAAAGAATACCTGATTTTCTCAAACTAATTGCATGCTCTGATGGGATAAAGGTCATATCTAACACAGCTTATGTTACTCCTTCACAGAATATATCATGATGCCCTCTACCCAACAGGATCATAGAAGCAGAACCATCTATGTAGCTCAAAAAGGTTTTTGTCAGAACTAAAAGACTTGCTGCTTCTTACAGCTAGGGCTCAGATTATATTTAAATGGATTCCAATACCTCTACATTATGAAATCACATTCTAAAAATTCCTCTTTTGAAGGAGCACTTAGTATTTTTGATGTGTAGCAAAGTCTTGGCTTCTCCATTAGTATTTTTGATGTGTAGCAAAATCTTGGCTTCTCCATTCTCACAATCCTCTTGCCAGCTCATGCTAGAAAGTACTGCTTCATGCAATATTTCTCAGCTCCAATAGGACTTTTTTCTTTGGTCAAAGATGGAAACATAAAAATACAGAACTTCACTTCTGATGAAAGAACAGTCATAAAAATAGCCTATGGAGAAATAAAGCCAGGGAAGTTTAGCATTTGATGAGGCGAAGAATCCTCTGTTCCTCATAACTTTTGTAAAAGTATTTTATTTTTTTTAAATCACCTTTGGTTTTGTGTTGTTTAATAAGCAGCTGGAATGAGACTTTGGTGAAGACACCATTGAGAATGAACAGATTCTTCAAACACTCCCGCCTCTGAACTTTGCTTATACAAAAATATTTTGGAAGTAAAAAACTTTAAAGTTTTTCTGACTGCATCACTAGGACACTCGTGTCTCTGTTTTAAAATCCATTAAAATCACAGAAATTTTTCCACACATCAGTTGGCTTTGATTTAGGCAGGTTTTTGAGTCTGATTAACTTCCGATATTGGAAACAAACTTTGCAAATATACCATGGACAAACGTTGTGGATGCTTTTGCCAAAATGCTTCAGAGGCTGAAAACTTATCTGGCAAGCTGCACTCCATGGGTTTCTTCAAAAGGTTGGGTTGTTTTTAGCAAGGTATTTTTATTGCAATTCATGCTTGAAGACTACAGAGAGCTTCGAGCATATTACAGAAGCCACAGCACTCCTCCAAAATTGGTATTGTTCCTTGTTTGTAAACCATTCCTTGTAAAAAGGGATTACACTGAGATGGAGAGTATGTATGGCTTGTGCTGTTGGCAGCAGGGCTGATACAAAAAAAAAAAAAGCAAACTTCATGTCCACTCTGTTGTTTTCCACCCTAGTTAACAGAGGAGCATAGCCTGACAATGCTCTGCCAGTATTCTGGAAAATTAACCTCTGCAATCGAGTTTTTGAAAACTATCTGGCTGTTATCTGCATGGAAAAGCCCTAAATCCAAAGCCCTGCACTTCAAAAAAGCACAGAAAACCACAAAGTATCTGCAGGACAGCTTTAGTAACAGGAGAGAGCACTTTAAACCACTGAATCTGCCAACGTGAATTCATCCCAGATTGCATAACAGCTTGGCTTTACCAGTCATGCAGGAGGTCCAGGCCACAGCAAACGTGTTTGGTCATCTCCATTTTTCAAACCTATGCAGGTTTCAGGCATCCCTGCTGCCTGACACTGTCACAAGCCAGCCCCCACTGGCATCAGTGTGGCCACTCTCACTGGGAAAGGTCAGTCCTGTCACTGGACAAAAAGGCTCAGTCCATGTCACATACACATGCAGGAAAATTTCAGCCACCCTGAGCGCTCAGGGATACCTGGCCTCTATGGCACATGGAGAAACAGCCATGTCCACACTGCTCTTAAGAAAGAAAAAAATAATAATTCAAAAATCTCTGCACTTCCATGAGGCATTTAACAAAAACTGTCTGCCAAGAAAGATACTACAGTCACCACAATTATCCTACCCTAAGTACAGGGAGGCAGGGACAAGGCAACATCCCAGGGACCACGCAGTTGTAGCTGATGCAAATGCTCACGGTGGCCAACCCAAATGTTCACAACACACACTGAAAACATGCCAGAAGTGCACACACTGGAAAGGAGACAACATAAGGAGCGTTCCGTAGTACAACATCAGCTCTCACTTAAGGCGTGAGGAAAGAAAAGTAAGATAGAAAAACAACCCAACACTTTCAGCAAGGAAAAACATGTTGATAAAAATACCATTAAAGTAACATTAGTGTCAAGGTATCATTAGCACCAGCAAAATAATTCAATATTCACTTTACTCGAGCCTGACATACAGAACTGTATTTTATGAAAAAATCAGTTTTCAAAATAATTTTAGCCTAACCTGATCAACAAGCAAATGATAAAAAATTGCTCTTTTCAGAACAACAGGCTCTAGTTTTTATATGTAAGCAAAATCCCTCCTGAAAACAAGCAAAAAAAACCCTGCAATATCACCTTAATGATAAAATCAGTTTGCATTTTCATCAGAACACCTTAAAAAAAAAAAGATGAAAAAAGAAGTCAAAAACATTGCTAATCTCTCCTTTCAGATAAAGGAGAAAATGCAGTGAGCTGGGGAGCCAGTTCATGCTCACACACTTTCCACTGAAACCTGCATCTCCCAAAACCACTATTAGAAAAAGTATTTTTCTTTCTAATTTATTTCTGAGTAAGAAATTGACACAATTCTGACTACCCATGAAGCTTATTTATGGAAGAACCACAAGCTAATGATCATTTAACTTCTTTAGGTAATGGGACACAAGCTCACATTCTCAAGATGCTCAAGGTGGAACTGAGCATCTTTGATATTGTGCACAAACCAGAAGACCAAGCTGACAGTGTTGGTCCTTCCACCTTGCTTTCAAGCACAAATATATCAGAAATCCATTTGGGCCTGATAAAGCTCCTGTCAGCTTCTCTTCTCTGGAGCAGCAAATGCCCTCAGCTCTCTCAGCTCCCAGGGATTTTCATGCCCCTCCAGCAGGTGCAGGGATGGCACAGGGCGTATCTCCTTACTGTATTCCCAGAAGTTGTTCAGGACACGCCGACCTCCATTCCCCACTGAGGGCATGGGGCACATGGGGTCAGGAGGCAGTATGGCTGGAGAACCCTCACACCAAGACACTCATGTCCCCTGCAGAGCCCTCTGGGGATGGTTGTGAAGCCACAGAGGGGGGGACAGGGATAAACAACAGGGAATGTCTGAGGCCAAAGGGAAGACACGCGACCGCATCCACAGAACATCCCCAAGCTCACTGAAGAGGGCTTGCTGTGGGCATGGGGTCTCTGGGGACTGCCTTAATCCTGTTGCTAAAACATTTATAGCCTGTCTGGGCCATTTATAAATGCTCCAGTCTCCTTTTTAGTAAGCATAGGTTCAATCCTGCTCTCAGTCGAGTCAACGGAAAATTTCCCATTAACATTAATGGTCCCAGCTCAAGCCATAAATTCCTCCAGCTCCCTAGCCACTTGTGCTGACCTTTGCTTAAACTTCCTTGGATTTGTCATCATCCTTCTGGAAAGCAAGCTCTTCTGTGCTATTTTTCTCTTCACAGTTGTTTCCAAATATCCCATCTCTCTTTAGTATCTGTGGCTATCATCAATGCAGTCTCACCTCCACATCACTGATTAGGAACACCACTGCCCCTGCTCAGATCCCACCAGTACCTCTCTCATCAACCCAGTGTAAGGCCATTGCTCACCATTACTCATTTGCTTAGTTTGCACCCCTCTCTGCCAGTCCACATAAGGATGTGATCGGAAACAATGCAGCTGTGGGGATCTTAAACACCCAGACTGCCACATCCAACAAAATGGAAACAGCATCTTCCTGCCATGCTTTTTCCAATTTGGAAGTCTTGTCTGTAAGGGCTACCCAGTGTCTCTGGCAAGATCTGCTCTTTGTCACAGCAGTACATATGAAGTATATAAGCATTTATGTGCATAACAAGAGGACAGTGTTGTTACTCTCTGTGTTAGGACAGTGAGAAAATGCCTCGAAGAACCTCGGGCTCCCTGCTTGGAGGCTGAGTAATGTCATGCCCATTTTACACTCAGCAAGCCACATATCATCTGTACCTCTCCCACAAGCAAGCTGCAAAGGAAAACACCACGTGGCTGCAGCCACAGGAGCCAGGGCTTGCCCCCCAGCCCATTCCATCCTGCGCTGGCTCCTCCCTGCCTGGAAAGCGGCTGTGGACAAATCCTGATCACCTGGCAAAGCCACCCGAGCAGGCTGCATAGGTTTCCTTCACATCCAAGGCCAGCACCCCAAAAAGCTTTGCACAGGCCAAGTTTCACACTTGGAGCTAAAAAAAAAAGAGCCTCCAACCTCGCAGCAGACGTTTGTGAAGCCCCTTCCCTCCCAGCCCCTGGCAGAGACAGGATATGGCAGGAGCTGGAGATGCCTGCTCCTTTCATGCCTTTGGCTGCTCTCTCCCCCTTTAACACCTCAGATCACTCAACCCAAGAAGCTCCTCAGCTCTTGGAGATTTGAGGGGGATTTTTCCACTTCCACAGAGAAGCAGAATTTCAGGGGCAATGCAATGTGTGTTTCTGCAACGCAGCCCGAGTAAGCCCCACCACAAAAAGCAAGTTCCTGCCCCTCTTACCTCTCCAGAGAGGATTCAGCCCTGCCTTGCTTTTGGAAAGGGCAGTCTCTGAACTGAAGCTACTGGCTTGGCTCAAAGCTCTCGAGAAGTGTTCATCCACCACTGAACCAATGTCTCCCTGGAAGTAAGTGAACAGGACACAGCGAGAGTTCAGGTACTCCATCTCGGCAGGCTGCTCTTTCTCATCCTCCTCTTGCTTGCTGGGAAGGGTCACTTCCAGAGACTCCTGCATCTTGTTGTACACAGCTAACTTCTTCTGGGATTAGAAACAAAACAAACAAGAGATGTATCAGTGATGGCATTCAGAGGAAGCTCAAATAACTGAGTGTATTCCGTTATTTAACTAAAAATAACTGAATACACCGAATAACTGATTATTCATTTTGTAATTAAATTTGGACTACCTGGATACTTGACACTGGCATTTCACAAAGAAGAGGATACCAGTGCTTGCTTAAGAGTCTCTATTCCTCTCACACAGATGGACCTGCTTCTCAGGCATGTTTCACAACCACAATTTATCAGCACCAGCTTTCACTCAATACTTTCAAAAGACAGCAGACAGGCTCTAACAATTCCCTCCTGACTCCCACCTGGAGAGGACATTCCATCAATAAAGGCTACAGAGGTCAAGCCCAGCCCTGTGGAAGGGTGGCCAGATAGACAGCATGTGCATTTCACACATCCAGCTGGGCAAGCACCAGGTTTCTGGGCACACTCCTCCAGCTGAGCATACAGGGCCCTCCGGATTCCCTGCACTTACTGCTGAAGCTGTAAAGGTGGGAGTTTCCTGCTTCCTGAAAATTTTTCTACTGTATTATCAAAATCCACAAAATGCATAAATTTTCACTCACTGACAACAGAATTTTTATCACAGGAAGTTATACCTTGGGGTGGTGACTGGGGGCTGGTCAGGGGTTTGAGAGCTTGGTTTTTTGGTTGTTTTGGGGTGGTTTGTTGTTGTTTTGAGGTTAGGGTGGAAGGGGTTTCTTTTCCCTTTTTTTTTTTTTTTTTTTTTTAACACCAGCTTTTGGGAAAAGGGAAAAAAAAATTCAAGTCATAAAAAATTAAACATGTGATCTGGGGGAAGAGGGGGATTGACAAGTCCGCAAACACATGCAGAAAAATCCACCCCAAACCAAAAACACAGAGAAGCATATAAAAAGCTAAAACCCTCACAAGCCATCTGTGAATGGCTATTTCAGAATATTCTCTCTCTCTCTCAAATCAAACCTAAATGTCAAAATAAATGTGTGTGAAGATCCATTTTGCATGGAACATATTTTTCAGATGTTCCACTTTACAACTGTTTTCACAGGGAAAAAACCTCTCCCCACAACAGTCAAGCTGCAGGAATCATAGCTTTTAGCTAGCCAGCCATTTCCACAGCTGACTTTACACACAAGCACTTTCAGGAACCCAAAAACAACTACAGTCCATATGCAAAAGTATTTCATAGCATTCCTATAGAATTACAGCTTGACTTATCTTTAATGGTTTGCTTGGCAACACTCTAGCGCCATCAGAATCTCTTTAAGTTTATGGCATTTTTACCCTTTTTCCGAAGTAGTTGTATAGAAAAAGTTAAACAACTGCACAGTCTATAAAGTTTCATTTTTACAATAAATATGCTTGTACAATTTAGAAATAATCGAAAGTCATTTTCTGACCTTTTGTACCATCGATACATTTAAATTCAGTGCTTTCTAAAATCATATAATCTGACACAAATTATCTCACTGTAGTACAAAATAAATGCTCTGAGGCAAAGTCTTAATTACGAATGGTTATTTAAAAAAATTACCTGTAAGAAAGAGCTATTGACAAGTGGAATTAAAACCTATTTATACTTAAAGCTCACGGCAACTTAAGCAACGTATCTGATATTCCAGTGGGTTAACTGATAAAGCAGCTCAGTGATACCATTAATTCAGATGCTGTTGCACAAACTGCAGTGAGGGACACACGCAATTTTATTTCATTTGGGGACATCAGGAAATGACCTGGATTTCCAGTGAATCTGTGCTTCACAGAGCAAGTTCTACTGTGGCTCAGTTTAGCACAATATTACTTAAGACTATTGGGAGAACCACTGGGATTCACTTATAAAAATAAACAAACAAAAATATGGAAACAGCAAAATAAAGCAGTTTTACTAGAAACTAGAACTGCTAAAATGAAACAGTCTGAGGCTGTAAACATATTTTTGCAAATGCAGAATTTGGGGCAACGTACACTTTTTCTGGAAGTGCTTCGTGCCTTCTGTAAGCAAACATCTCAGGAAGTTCTCCTAATATCTGTTACCCAAATGCTTACTAGGATATCACTCAAAGCAAGCTTCGTGGTTTTGCCTGAGGAATCACAGACCCCTGAGACCTCAGTAAGACAGAAACAGTTCTAGCAATGCTGCACATAAAGGAGACACATGCACTGGAAACCTGCAACGCATCCACCTCGACAACTTGGCCATTCCTGAAGCTGCACCACAACTCAGATCCTCTTAAAAATGCTTTTCTCATTTTTGGTTTTGCTTGGGCTTTGTTTTTTACGCAGAGACACAGTATGAAAGAGATCCTCTGGAGAAATCCAAACAGGTCTGTTACATGCCAGACCTTGAAGAGAGGCAGCACACATCCAGTGCTGACTCCCATCCCTACAGGTGCTTGCACTGATGCTGCAGTTATGCAAATGCAGACACAAGCACGCAATTACAGACAGACACACACCGCTAACACAGCCCCTGGCTTGACTTGGTGATCAGGAAGGAAGTCTTCCAATGTTCCTATACAGGGACTGGAGTTCAGGAAATTAAAACTTATCTCCAGAGTCGCTTCTCTGCGCAGGAATGTTCCCCCTTCCACAGCTTAAGAATCTAATTCGTTTTCCATTTCAACTCTCTTCCCTCCCCTCCAGTCCACGGACAGTCATTACAAGATGCTCTGAGCACTTGCTCCTTTCAAAAGCACTAAATCTGACCTTTTTTTAATGTAAAAAAAAAAAAAAATTCTAATGCAACAAAAAAAAAAAAAGATAGTAGGACTGATGGACAAGAACAGGGCCTTGTGTGTGAATGATTATTTACAGTGCAAAGCTGTGGTTTGCAGTGAGTTATTTGCAAAGGATAAGAGTTCTAAATTAAAAGATTTTTCAAAACAGCAAGCCTGTGATCAGATACAGATCTAATTAATTTGCATTTCAGGAAGAAATTATCAGCCTGTAATTGCAAAACTCTTTAAGCAAGACACTACAGTGAGAGAAAGTTATTCAGCAAGTCTTCCTTGTATGCAGTGTACATACATCCTTTCCAGTGTATGCATCCTTTGACAATGTGAGGGTTTTTCCCCCCAACTCACCTAAAATACCCTGTTTGCACATAAATTTCCTAATTTTTGTTCTGACCTTAACAGTACTCTCACCATATTTTTGACTGCAGTTGTGTGAGTGGAAAACTATGCAAAATCATCAGCGCTAAATGAATTTGTCCCACAATCATGGGATGTGAGGGAACAAAAACAAAAAAGCCCATAAACACCAGGGTAGGTTTATGGCCACTAACCTCAGCTAGTCCAGTTTAACTTGTACTTTTTCATTTGAACAGTTCTAGCATATACTTTATCAGCCAACTGCATCTGTAAGATCTTTACCAAGTGTTTTCTGACCAAACACAGTGTTATGTCTTGTCAACGTTCAGTACTTTAATATATTCATGAAATACACCTCTCCCTTCCTTACACTAGAGACTTGATATTAAGCAGCCTCTGAAAAACAAAACAAACACCAAAAATCTTCTCTTGGCCAAGACACAGGATACAGAATTTAAATTCAGAATACAGAATTTAAGTGGAAAAGAGGGAAATTCAGTGTCTATACCCTTTTGATAACAGACTCTAGTTCATGGCTGAAATGGCACAATCTCTGGGTAAATACAGCTGTACAGCCTAGGCTGAATTCAGCTTCAACCAACATTACCTTATTTTTATTTCATATATTCACAAACAGGCAATTCCAAAGAAAATCTAAACCCTTCACTTCAAATCGTACAACAAAAGGAAACTGAAGGTCAACATATCACTGATGATATGGGAATATTAAAAAGAAAGTTTATTCTAAACAATCATTAGCCTGTCTTCCTGAGCACTTTTAGACCAAGAAAACATTCAGTCCAAAATCTCACACAAAATCCTTGCCTTGAAGATTCCTGTTATTTTCTGACATACCCTACCCAGAACCAAGCACAAAGGTTCTCATGCAGCAAAATGCTGGCCACATTAAAGCCTGTGGCAAAAGTCCAACTGACTTCAAGGGTCCCGGGTCTCACCCAGAGTGTCTGGTAAAAATGTCAGAACATTCCTCTTTGCAAATAGAAAAAAAACTCACTTCCAGCAGAAAGCAGTTAGTAGCCAGCAAAACAACAACAACAAAATAAAACAACCACACTTTGAGAACAGAGAAGGTTTTACTTCAGCCAAGTTTGAATCGAAAATTCAGACCAGCTCTTACTTTTCACATAAACTGGTTGCCTTTTCCTACAATTTATTATCTCCATACATGCCACCATACAGCATATGGTCCTTTATGCTCCCAAGCATGAAAGTCTGGTGTGCCTGTGGCCACCTGTTACAGATTTTCCATTATGAGAAAAAGAACAGGAACCAAAAATAAAGAATAACTACGCTGAGGTAACACTATATGACCCTACCCTGAGAAAAAGGCTGTCATTTGACATAAGCTTCTGAGAAGGAATTCCAGCAACAAACTCGTGGCAAATCCTCAGACAGTCCTCCATTTGTGGAGCTGTCTGCCAAGCAGGCTCCTATTGATAACACAGAAAGAATTCAAGGAAGAAGACAATTCCAAGCAAGCAGGGTACTAAATGCTGGGCCTGAAAGATGTGTTTATGGCACTGCCCTAAAAACATGAAACAGTAACTTCCACCCACACAAATGAGCAAGGTGAGAGCTTCTTTTCAGCTGGGCCACTGGATTTGTAGAGGTAGAGCATGGAGGTGCTGCTGTGCTCTGCTGATGGAGGGACATGGTGAAAAAAGAATGCATTCATACACCTTTTGCTGCACATGTAAACAGAGATGTACCCTAAAGGTTTAAAGGTCTAATTTTATGCAGCTAGAGGCAGATCAAGTAGAATTTGGTCCCAGTCAGCATGACAGAGTAAAGCAAGGCAAACTTTTTTAATCAGTGATGTCCCGTGGGATTGAACCAAATAAAACCAACCAAGAAAACCTAGCACACAGGGCAGGACATAACCCAGGTTTGACACCCTGTGACTGTGAGAATAGATGAGTTATACAGGTTATATAGCTTCCAGAGAAGTTAGTAGAGCAAACAGCAAAGGAATAGCCCTGAGAAAGAATCTGCACTGCAAAAATTGGATGTGAAGCCACGCTCTGCTGTTACCTGCCGTCAGACATTGCAGACTGCCACAAAGCATAAGCAGAATAACAAGCCCATCCTCAAAAGCTGGGAGCACATGATGCAAAGAATTCCACTGAAAAAACAAGTTGCAGTATGTGAATTGGGGTTTAGCTGCAGCCAGCTGACACAGCATCAAAAGTGACCTGTCCTTGTCTGCAACTCTGTCAGTTTGGAAGGAAGAGCGGAGTTAGTGACCTAAATTGCTAATGAAGACAAGGCTGTCTACAGCACTGCCAGCAGAAAGTCTGATTTGAGCATATCACAACTCCTTATGCAAGACTTGATTTAGCAAGGACAGCTTTGGCTTAGATGTTGGCTTGCCTCTACATACCATGGAGAAATTCCAAAACTACCATTTACTGTAACTTCTCCTTCCAGAGGTCTTTAGCTGGTGTGTTAGTGAGCCTGGGTGAGTCCTACCTGAGCCTCAGCCCTGCAGCTGGCTGTGCCCAGCCTGTCGTGACAGGACAAGCCATCCCCGTGTGCCGGGAATACAATGGGATTCTGCTCCAATTACATGTTCCCAAATCCTCTCCGAATTTCGTTACACCCATTCCTCACCCAACCCATAGGAAAGCCAAAGTTCACTATTCCAGCTGCACAGCCCCTCAGCAAAGTGAGCAGCAAAGAGCATTTTAATTTTGCCACTCTGCAGGGTTTTACCCTCACGCCTGCAGAGCTCCCCACCAGACACAGAAACACGTTCGTATCCTAACACCGGCACACGCTCGATCCGTCTTTTGGCAAAGGAGTACGGAAATCCCGATTTATCTGTAAAATCAGGGCCACACCCCATTTTCATCAGCTCATTCTGGCACCATATGAGCATGTATATATCCGTGTTTCGCTTACTTCCCTCCAGCAAGCACCCTGGACTTGAGCAATCGCAAAGATCTAAGGTGCTAAGCCTCCACTCCCATTAACATTCAAGAGGAATTCAGGCTTCAGTCCACTAAGAGCTTTAAAAAAGAAAAAAATTCCATCTAAATTAATTTGCCAGCAAGTCCTTTCCTGGCTAAGGATGGTGAAAGCTACATTTCCAGAAATTCCACCTTTCTGTGCAAGGCAAAAATCAATTCCGTGCTGATTTTAAGGGCAAAAAAAATACAGACACAGAAATGCAGGAATAACTTTAGCGTGGGGAAACTTTAAAAAGGCACAATGGACCACCCCCTAAAGCTACACTTCTGCACAACCCAGGTGCACACTAGTCCACCATTTAAAAGCAGTCTGAGACTTTCCATTAAAAATAAAAATAAAAAAGGAGACAAGCATTTGAACCCACTTCGTCTTGCTGCAGGCACTGCCGCTGACCCAAAGAAACACGATGGGTTTGGCTCTCCAGAGAGATCCCAGAGCGCAGACATTTGAGCTCCACAGCTGAAGAGCTGCTTTGCTCCATAAAGCACACAAAACTGATGTCCAAAGCATAACCAGTTACACATTTGAGATGACTTTACTACAAATACCTGTGGAGATGCACAGGCTTTAGTTAGAGTGACACACCTGCATCTCGTTGCCCTGAGAAGAAAATGAAAGCCAACAGCAGCAGAGGATGGAAGAGCCTTCTCTCTCAGAAAACAAACTGAAAGACACCAGTGTAGTACAATACCACTGAAAAATGCCTTGGTGGAGTCCTTGGATATTTTAAGGGTGAGCTCCATTTTATCATCGCCAATGCAGAGACTTATTTTTAAGGTATCCCACTAATTCATCTTCCCTCACTGTTATTTTTAAACCACAGATTTAATTCCAACAAAGAGGAACATTCTTTAAAATGGTCATCATCCTCACAAAGAGTGCAGGAGCGTTTTACATGTTGAACACATGTGTAAGAACCAAAAACCTGGCAACAGATTCTTCATCTTTTTTTGTTACGTTCTCTACCAGTTGATTAAGCATCTCTGACAGGACAATTCTGAAGGAACAGAGACTTGCAAAACATCATTTGTTACGCAAACAATAAATCTTGACGCTTGAGGAGCTCATTCTATGCTTACTTTTTTTTTTCTAAATTTAGAAAACATTGGATTTAGAGAAAATACACAAACCACTCTAAAGTTAGCAGTTAGAAGTAGAGGGGGCAACACTTTCTTCAGCAACAACAGCATGGCTTTTCAGTCTGGCATCTGAGTAGCTTGTGAAGACCCTTCAGCTCCAAGTGTGTCAGGAAAACCAGTGCAACCAGGATTCATTAAATTAAATTGTTCATAACACATAGGATAGCCATGTTTAGAAAGCTTTTAGGTGGAAATGCGGTATATGGCCAGCTCAAGACCTCTACTGGCTTACCAGAGCTATCTACGTTTCTTGCCTTTCTTATCTACCTCTACTTAAACAGCTTAACCCCCAAGAACTCAGTTTGTTTAAAATAAAATTTCAAGAAACTTCAGTGTTCATTAGGGTGCCCCTAGAACATTTGATACACAGCCCTGCTTTTGGAGGAAGAAATTTCATACCTATGCTTAAAAATAAAAAGGACTAGCACTTGAACGTGACACGGTAATTTAATAGAATTCCCCATACCAAGTGTTCTACAGATCTGGAAGAGAAATAGAGACAACCACTTCAGAGTTAAACGTCAGGAGGTTCAGCAGAGCTTTGATTACTGTTTTCTACTTCTAGGTCTCTCAGCCACAGAATCAGGCTATTAGTTTTTACTTATTCATTTTCTCGTCAAAGCACACAGGCTATGAACTGGACCTCCAGATACCCAAACACAAACTTCTTAAGTAAAATTACTGCATAGACAGAAGCTTTGCAAGCTCTGACCAAGATTAGAGAAGAAATAATAGCAAAGGCACTCTGCAAGAGGCAGAAATCGAAAGTTTTCCAGAGCTCACATTTAGAGTGAACATGAGCAACCTGGACAAGTTCACTGGGGTATCATTTCTGCAAACGGGCTCTGTCTCCCAACAAAAAAAGAAAAAAACCAGCAACAGACGATCGGAATTTTAATGTTTTAGCCCATACTCGTGTCTCCCAGGCAAGTTGATACTAGGGGTCACTTCCCATGTACGGAGAAAACAATCTTCATGGATAATAATGATAAAACCTTATGGAATGCAGCAACAACCAAAAAATGTATTCTCAGATGACTACATTAGGGCCAAGTCAATATTAGTCCCACTTCACCCACGCACTGCATAGTCTAAAAATGCTGTCAGCCTGATAAGAATTTCCTGATTCACTTGAAAAAAAAAATAAAAATAATACATCTGATCACCAAATTCAGCTGGAAAGTCGCCGCAGACGATCTTCCAGGAGCGCCGGGAGGAGCGGCGGTGAGGAGCAGCGCGGATCCCCGCACCGCGCCGGGCTAAGGCGCTGCCCCGCGCCGGCCAACGGGGCGAGCGGGGAGAGCCAGCAAGGAAGGCACGACGGCGGGGAGAAGGGGGAGAGGAGTAAGGAAATAACTTTTCCCTCCTGCCCCACGCCAGATGAGCAAGCCAACACCCACCCGCCAGATGCAAGAATCTGGGGGGGGAAATGTTTTTTATTTCTTAGGAAAGGTCTTACCAGGCTCCGCTGCTCCGGGGCACCCTCAGCAGCTCCCCGCATCTCCAAATCAGGCCGGGGGCTGCGGAGCGCATCGCTGGCTGGCCGGAGCGGAGGTCTCCGCCCAGGGCAGCCAGCGATGCGCCATGCACCCGCCGAGGGAGGGCCTCCCCAAAAAACCCCGCACCTCCCAGTCCTCCGCACCGCGGGCACAGGCAGCCCTGCCCTCCCCGCGGCTCACCTGCGCGCAGCCCGCCGCGGGCGCGGCCGGATAGCGGGGCGCCCCGCACGCCGCCGGGGCGGGCTGCTGCATGGCCACGTCCGAGCAGCTCATGGCCGCGGCCGCCCCGCGCCACCGCCGTCTCCCCCTTCCTCTTCTTCCTCCTTCTTCTTCTTCTGCTGCTGCTCCCGCTCCCCGGCGCGGGGCGGCCGCGGCCAGGCGCCGCGAGCACCTGCCCAGCCCAGCCCAGCCCAGCCCCGCCCGCCGCGCCGAGCGCCCCGCGGGTAACATCTGCGGGATCACGGAGCGCGGCCCCGCCGCTGCCGGCTGCGAGCGGGAGGCGCTCCCGGGAGCTTTTTTGGAGCAGCGAGGGCTCGCTGGAGTAGGTGTCACCTGTATGAGCCACGCTTCCACCTCCAGGGATTCATCCTGGAAATTCATCTGGGAGGAAGGGGGAACCTACGTGTTCCACAGGATGTATGTTGGATGCAGGCTGAACTAGCCAGGAGTCTCTCTTCCTTCCCCACATTTGTACCACAATGTTTTCCCCACAAAAAAAAAAAAAAAAAAAAAAAAAAAAAAAAAAAAAAAAAAAGTGTACTTCTCAGCTTGAAAAATATGTGGAAAACTCGGATCTGGTTGTAATGACTTCAGTTGTATTCAAATATTTTCCTGGCCTACCTCTGTGTGCACACTTGTGCCAGCGAGCTGCCCTGCTGCAGAGCTGCACTTGGAGGCTTTTGATGCCATTCCTCACATGGAAAAGACTATGGCTTGTTAGCATTATCCCAGCTTATGAGCCTGGGAAGGATTTACACTTCTTTGCTCTTGTATTCTTCTCATCAGGTCTAAAAGGAATTAGCTGAAGTTTCTTTTTCACAAAATTTGTTTTGAAGTTTACCTACATTTAATAAGGTGGCCAGAAATTGAAGTCTTTGATCAAAAATTCTAAATTTATACTCTCTCCCTCTCTTTGCATATATATGCACACAAACACACAGACACATCCCCTTGGCCAGAACAGTTAGATGAATACACAAGGTTAAAATAGCTCTGTCTGACCCCAGTAGGATTCCCCGTTTGTAGAAAGTGTATCTCCAAAACATTCAAACTGCAATACTTTGAACAAAGATCCAATTTCCTGCAGACATGCTTAATTTTTTTCTTTTTTTTTTTTCTTTTTTTTTTTTTTTTTAAGTTTTGTGCATACAGATTTTAAGGTAGCTATATACTTTTTAACTAGCACTCTGATAGCCCATTCTTTTTGTATTTTGTAGATCTATGTGAATGAACTCCAGCTGAAGCACTCACCTTTGCAGTCACTGCGAAGTTCCTGCAAGGGTAAAATGCATATACCAAATGCATGGGCTCCTGACTGGTTTCTTTGTCAAAACAGAAAATCCAGGTGCCGATTGCTATCTACAAATCTCTGCTTGGTCCCTATTAATTTTAGAAATCTGTTTCCCCTCATTTCCTACTGCAGCAAGCCTAAGGCAGGACATGATCCCGCCAGCGGCGCTCGCAGGACCGCAGGCCGGCAATAGCAAGCACCACGTTCTGATGCGCGCTGTTCCTGGCCACCAGCCTGCTCCTGACTCCTGACCTGGAGGGTTTTACCGCAAGCACATGGCCAGGCTGCCTCCAGGCATTCCTCTGGCACCTGGCCTCCTCGCCTCTGGACTGCTGGCTGCTGTCCACCCTCGCAGATCCTCCCCGGGAAGCGTGTGCCGCTCGCCGCAGAGGATTGTGAAACATGTTTCCTGGTTTAGGGAGGATGTGTTTAGCACCGTTCTGTCTGAGGTAAAACGCTCTCACATGCAGTGAGAACAAGGCCTGGTGTTAGTTTATAAAAAACGACCCCCGAAAAACCCAGAACAAAACCCTCCTACGCTTAATAACAGTAAGAAAACAACCCTGTAAAATCACAAATAGAAACAAATTCTTTCAATACCAATTGATCATTTTTAGGAGAAAATCCAATATTGGTCCTTAAAGCAGAACAGACTAAAATAGAAAATGATTTATCGTTTATTATGTTAATGTGACACATTGAAGTGGGAGTACATCAGTGATCATTTTTCACCCAAGTACATGAGGCATTTGGAAGAGATTTATAAATGCACTAACACAGAGATCACTGTTTCCACAAAATGCCAAAATGCTCCACTATTCAGTTAGTACACATTTCTTATTATCAGATCCTGACAGAATTCCTATCAGATGCCTTTGGGCGTGGTACAGTGGCATGATGCATCCTATCAAAAAGCAGATCAGGACCATTATCAGGCAGATGTTTGACACCATGCATCATGTTACTCAGCCCGTGGCACACTGCCATTGCTCAAAAGGATTTTGACATGATACAGTGTGCCAATGTTGTAGCACAAAACCAGCGTGTTCCAAAAATAGGGACAAATTCACCTCTGGCATAAGGAGAATTAACTGCAGTGACTTCATTAGATTTGCATCTGCTTATGTCAACAGTGAGTTTGGCTGGTAATCTCAAATTTATATAAAAGAGTGGTAGATGGCTGCATTTTCAGGTATCTGTTATATTGTTTTCTACTCCCAGCATTCAAGCATCATGAGACAGCTGGGGTGAAATCGCCACCTTTCTCAGCTCCTTCCCCTCCACCCCACAAGAAGCAGCATCAGATTTCTGGTTTTAACAGTGTAACAATACCTCAGAGTACATAGAAGGCCACTCTTTTCAAAAGCTTGGGAGGTTGTGAGTTGGGAATTTCACAAGGAATAGGAATTTTAAAAAAAGAGGAGAGGATCTACTTTCTGCCTCCGTACTATTTCTCAACAGTAGCTGCAAGTGCCAGGTGCACAACAGCAGCAAAATAAATTTTGAGTGGCAATTAGAGTAAGAGTAAAAGAATGACATGAGGGTGAAATGTGAGATCTGATAAGATTTGAAGACTTCTTAAAAGGCATTGTAATTTATTGTTGTTCCCTTTCATCACTCTGGAATGAAAAGCACAGCTTGCTAATGCAGATGCATAACACTGACAAAAGAAGAGGAGAGGAACCAGCTAAGGTATGACTGGTGTGAGATCTTTACAGAAGAGAAACATCCCAGCTCTCTGCCTCAGTCTGTTTCTTTAGTGAGGAAAAGAACTGACTGGTTCTATTTTAAATAAAGCTCATTCATGTTTGCTGTGTGTTCTAGCTTCTTAAATCCACCAGGGTACAACTGATTCTTGGACCAGCTGAACTTCGGTGATGCTAAGAATAACCAGAAGGAATAAAGACCAGAAAATCCTCAGAGAGCACTCAGTAAATGCCACCACCAAACATGACTTGGTACAGCAGCTACATGGGTTGTAACATCAAGGGAAAACGGCTTGTCTGATACACTGGAGAGCTGAAGGAGAGAGGAGGAGCACCTCTAAATGAAACAGTAAATCTTGTCTGCTCCCAGACAAGATTTACTGTTTCATTTAGAGGTGCTCTCACCCCTTCCACAGATCAGAAAAGTTATATAGAGGTCTAAATAAATTCTGGAAACAGTTGCAAGCATCTCAAACCTTTTGAGCAATATCAGCAAGAAGTAAGGGTCTTTCCCCCCTCTTCTCACTGCTATACAATTATTCCCAAATATTTCTTTGAGGAGACAGCTCTGTACAGTGAGCAGTCTCCCAGAGGTTACAGCAGCCAAAACAACCCCTCCACTGCTGTATCCTATCCCCCCTCCTCCTTGTTTCACCCTCTGGTGGTATTCTGTAAGTACTTAAATCATTGGAAACCACACCCCATCTAGCCTGTTTACAGGCAAATCCTCTTGGCTTTGCTGTTATGGCCTGCCCAATAGCCAAAAATATAACATGCTATTTTTTCCTCCAGGAGACCAAATTGGAAGATACACATCGCATGCCAAGGAAATACACTCTAGGCATTACTTATGCCTTATGTATAAAGGAATAGGAAGGTTAAAAACAATGTTTGTTCACAACTAGCTGGGGATTCTCTTATGAGATGGACGATGAATTTTTTTTTTCAAGAAGTCATCTTTAATGAAACAGATTTTTTTTTTTTTTTTTTTTTTTGTGGAGAACAATCAATCTTGAAAAAAAAAAGTCTGTAAAGCAAGTTAAATTTCTGGTGAAATCTGCCATCACACAAATTTCTAAAGGTTTCACACCAAACTGCATTGTACTGGGTAGCCCAGCTGTGAGGACTATCTTGACCTCAGGACTCAGGGGTGCAAGGCAGGTTCCTCTAAAACTGCAGTGCCATTACCACTGAGATCTACACTTCCAGCTGATCCACTGCAAGTTCCAGAAGATCAGGAGGCAACAGAGAGCTCAGAAGCTCCTGGATTGAGCTGTCTTTCCTCATTCCCCAGGGAAGAAGCACAAGCTATAGACAGTTGCTTTCATTTCTGAAGGAAAGGAAGGGAAAGAGCCTGCCTCAAATACTTGAAGAGGGAGAGAAGAATGAGAGTTACCTCCATTCTGGAGTATAAAGCTTCTCTCTGTACATCCTTATATTGCACCAATTTGAAACAATCCAAAAATTGAAGGGTTGAATGTTTAAAGCAAAGTGTTCAATTCATGCAATGCCATTTTAATTCACACAGCACCTTGTGAATACAGGAAATATTTTCCTTATACCTGTAGCCATACACCCTCACCACCAAGGTTTTGACCACACTGGAATAGGAGGCAGCATCTTGTGTGTGGCAAATACATTACCTGAGATTTTAGGATCTCTTGATTCAAAAAGCAGCAAACCACAGGCCAAACTTATGAACTTGAGATGCACTGTAATCTCTCCACAGAATGTGAGGATCTGGACACCTCTCTGGTCATCTCCTTCATATTTTGTAATAAAACCAAAGCTGCAGTGCCAATTACAGCAAATATCTTTCTTCAAACCACTAACAGCTTTCACATTTCATGCCTGTAATCTTCAGCAAATAGATCAAGGACTGTTATTCATTTTAATGCCTGAATGCATTATATTTATTCTTGTTATAATATGTTCTGTTACCACAGAAAATATTTGGCTCCCAAAGAAAAAGAGGGAATTGTGTCAAAAGTCCAAATTCTTCCTTAAAATGCAAACATTTTTAATGGCTTTAATGGAAGATATGCATTGGAATCCCAGGGCACAATCTGGCACTAAAATCCTCCATC